CATAACAATTCTTGCTGTTTTCTGACTTCTAGTAACCTCTTACGTCACAAACCACACCCCTGTCTGGTTAATATTGACCAATCAGGGGCGCTCAAATATACCGGAAATAGAGCTCTTTAAAATGCCGGTACTTCCTAGTTCTCTCAGTTCGGTGAGGCGCTGAGAAGTCCTGAGACGTTCGCAGTTCTGTGAAGTCGTTTGGGAGAACAGAAGTCCAGCCATGATAAGGCTCTTCCGAGTTGGATTATAACATCTTCCACCTCTGAGTGGAACTTCTGAAGGACCCCACTCATGTGAAGTCCACTTGCTGATGTGAGCTGGTGTCGGACGGAATCTCGTCACTACTTCAGACGAGTCACAGCCATCCTATGGAGACGCTGGACAGGTAGCGTTAACTGGACCTCGATATCTGCTGATTAATCTTCAGAAAGGTAATGAGTCAAGTTCCCTACCAAGCGTACCGAGGAAAAGCTGGGTTCGAATGAAGAGTGTCGGTTCTGGTCAACACTCCCCCTCACACACCATCTTTTACTCCCTTTAAACTTCATTTCCATCTTTAAATTCTTCTCTCAGGTAGAAATCCTTCCAGATAATTTAGAAATGTCTGTGTAAAGTGCTCATCCACCGCCGTGTGGATAATTGATCTTAATTGTACAGTTTTCATAAATGTCTGTGGTGAAGCAACGGAAAATCATGTCCGTATGGTTTTCCTGGTTGTAAAGGTGATTGATTATGTTGTTATTTTCATATTTTGCCAAATTAATGTAAATGTTTGATGTTAAACTTTGATTCTGTAAAATAAATGACCGCATTCATTTTGATGGGTCAAAGAAAAATGACGTCTCACGTTACATTTCATTAAATTCAATGCACGTTTTATTCAGTCCAGAAAAATGAAGAATCCGTTTTAATTGATGAATATATCTCAGCATCTGTTCATCTACATATGTATGTATGTATATCTATATATATGTATGTATGTATATGTATATATATATGTATGTATGTATATATATATGTATATATATGTATGTATGTATATGTATATATATGTATGTATGTATATGTATATATATGT